AAGTTATAAAAAGATTTGATGCATTGAGTGTGAACTATGACCCCTTTCGGAGTTCTTGTCCCTTGCAAGAGAAACCTTGTTATCGCTACTCCTCTGAAACCGTAAACCGTAAAGGTACGAAACCTTCACCAATGTCTTCAGCTAATTACTGAGACTCTTGAATTTATTATTGCGAAAGGATTCATTGACCCCTTTTATGAGTTATTGCCCCTGAAAGTTTTCTATGTTTATGAATAATGAAAAAATTTGAAAACGATAAATCGTATAGACATGGAACCAACAGTATATGATTTGTCGACCCTTGACCTTGAAACTTATATCAAGGTCAAGGTCATTCAAAATATGAGAAATTTTGCTCTTATATACCTAAATTTTGTATTTTTAATATATATAATATATCTTTGCATTATTCTTATGTCCTTTTAAAGTAATTTTAAAAATCATTCTTTACCTATAAGATTGAACCGTTTAAAAGTTATTGCTCCTTTCAGTATAAACTTTGTTATCGCTACTCCTCTAAAACCGTAAACCGCAGAGTTACAAAACCTTCACCAATGTCTTTGACTTACTGAGTACACTCTTCAGTCTATCATTGCGGAAGTATTCGTTGACCCCTTTAATAAGTTTTTGCCCCTGAAAGTTTTTAATGTTAACAAATAATTAAAAATTTTCATAACAATAAGTCGTAGAGACATGGAACCAACTGCATTATATTCTTTCTCCTTAGGCCTTGAAGTTTATGTCAAGGTCAAAGGTCAAGGTCATTCAAAACTTAAGAAATATAGCTCTTTTAATAGCTCTTTTTTTCAACATATACCATATATCTTTGCATCTTTAATATGTACTCTTAAAACTATTTCAAAGTTTTCATTCTTGTCCCCTGAGCTTAATTCCTTTAAAAGTTATTGCCCCTTGTGCGAAAAACCTTGTTATAGCTACTCCTCCAAAACCGTAAACATTAGAGACACTAAACCTTCACTAATAGGGAAGGAACGTCTCGTTTATGCGTCACTTCCGGTTTAGCTGCTGGAGATAAACATTACAAACACGTGCTAGCAGTTCAGCCGCCGGTTGATAACTTTGTTAAAAATGCTTTGTTTTGTGGCGAGTTGTAGTCACCAAAGTCTGCGGGAAACGTGCAGTTTTTTCAGGTTCCCAACGAATTCCATAAAATTGTGGGGAAAACTTTGCAGGTAGGATAGTTTTATTAAAAGCACTTATCAAAATAGAACAGAGGAATGTCGGGTTATAATTCGTCCTTTAAATCGTACGCCAATTACATATCACGTAATGCCAGAAATTGAACTTGTCTTTAGGATAGCTGATGAATGCAGATTTAACAATGTTTATGTTTCACTTTTTAAAAATTCTATTCATATTCCTTGATAACTACAATATAAGAACGGAGGGGGGGGGGGGTCTTTGACAGGTTTTGCAATGCCTTGAAATTGAAAATAATAGTAATAGGGCATCAAATATTTATCTGGATTATATTTACACATTTATTTAGAATGAAATATATATAATGTACAAATAATTTAGGAGACAAGATAGGACAGTGACTGCAGCTGACAGGATATGCAGCTGTCACTTCAAAGACGGAAAAAAAGAAAATGGACCCACCATCTTCCCTTGGAATCAAGGGCTGTATTTTGACTTTGGGGACCCTAATGCTATTTCAAGGTATGTTTCGAATATTTTTGTGTCATAATTTTGAGACATTATTTTACGGTAGAATTTATTCAGTAACAAAATATTTTCTATCATCAGCTAATATTAATTAATGAAGTTAAAAATCAGGCAGAATATATATAAAAGTCTTTAGTAATTAACAAATGTATAACACATACAGACAAAGCAAGCAGAGGCCATCTATAAACCAGAGAGACGAATCTGCAGTAATGATTGAAGAGACAGAGGCTGCGACAGAACAACCATCATTTAGTGAGGGAATTGACCATGACCACAATAACACAGAATCAACTTTGTTGAAACAAATCCATGTAAGCATAAAACTGTCCCAATTTAGATTTAGCTGAGAGGTTCAACACAAGTAAGACAACAGTGCAAAATATTGTGGTCACACATATTTTTGCTTTGCATGAGGTGTTCTTTGAGGGCATGATTGAAAATAAGATTCCCTCCCTCTTAAAGTGCAAGTCCTCTATGCCGACAAGTTTTGGTGATTTTAATTGTTGCCGCCTCGTGATTGATGCGACAGAGGTGACCCAAGACGTTCCAGGGCAGGATATGTTAGCACAGTCTCAAACTTATAGCTCATATAAAAACAGACACACCGTGAAATCTGTTACAGGTGTTGCCCCTAATGGAGCTGTGGTATATGTAAGCAAACTTTACCCAGGAAGTACATCTGATTTGGCCATTGTTGAATACAGTAAAATGCTCTCCCAGTTGAAACCTGGGGACATTATTCTGGCTGATAAAGGTTTTACCATTCACTCTCTCCTTCGAGCAGGTGTGCATCTCAACATCCCTCCTTTCTTGAAAGACAAAGGACAGTACACCCCTGCCGAAGTGCAACTGTGCAGAAAAATTGCCAGATCTCGTATCCATGTAGAGCGGGTAAATGAAAGAATAAAGAACTTTGAGATATTATTTCACATTCCACAAAAGTTTAGACATTTGAGCACAAAAATATTTCAAGTATGTTCTCTACTGGTCAATTTTCAAGATCCAATGATTGCAGAGATTGCAGATAATTACATCCAGGCTCAAGATTTAGACACTCAGTAATATATGATAAAAGATTATAGAGGTGGAGCAAATGTAATTTATTTCATTCAGAGGTTCCAAGTATTTGTAATTAAAGACATACAGTGAGGCATTAAAATATAATTTCTTTTATGATATTCATACCGTAAATCAAAAGAATTATCAGTATCAAAAATATGAGTGTAATAAAGTTTTGACAAACCCAACCTCACTTCAAGTAGAATGCTATATATAAGTGCCAGAAAAATCAAAGGTTGTATTAAATGTATCATAAATCTTGTAAACAACATTGAATATGAGCATTTTAAGGTAAATAAAATGTTGTGATTATCTTTTACAAAGGTTCTTTGAAAATCCTCAGTTTACCATTATTATTTTTGACAAAAAAATGCATGTATATTTTAAATTCTATCACATCATGAAAGCTAACAAATTCTACATGTAAATTTCTATTCTTTCCCCAATTTTCCATACATTGAGTCATTAGGGATTTTAGATAATGAAACATTAGAATTGCTATGAAATAATTCTTTGACAAAATGGTGTCCAAGATTTACATTGAATATGTCAAATAGTTCATTATTGTACATAAAATTTACATGTATTTTCACATCTCTTCATCTCTTGTTTACTTGCATATTATTCGACTGGATTTCAAAAAAAGCATAAACAGTTAAAAATATAGTTTATGATATGCATGTATTTAAAAAGGCATATGAACAAATTACTTATTTCTTCTACAGTGCTGAAAAATCTTTTACATCATAATTCAAGTTATATAGAAAGTGGTAAGAATAACCTGAAATAAACTACCAGCAAAAATCAATAAATACAATATAAAACTGAAGACAAAATTATTCAATATTAAGTGTTATGATGAGAGAAAAAAAACAACTTTCAGTAATAATTCAGAAAAACAAAGTGTGACTTCTGTTGTTGGTTTCCAGCTTCACCCTGAGTACAACAATAATATTCCCTATAACTAGTACCTTATGATTACTGTAAACAAGCAATTCTAGTCAAGTCCCAAGTCACAGAATATTCAAAGTAGCATGTACATATACAAGTCTGAGATATAGCCATATAATTTACTGTCTATTTATTACACAAACATATAACATGTTTATATGTGCATAAATTGGGATTAATCAAAAACTTCAATTGAGGTCATCCACAAAAAAACCTATATCGGTACATATGTACAATACAAAATTATCTACATGTCATACATGTGTATTAGATAACTTTACAATATCAAAATTACAAATGTCTTGTCTTGATTTACATAAACATTTCAAATTACAGACAAAATTTTCCAATAAATGCTTCCAAACAACATCAGTCTTGAACAATATTTGGGATTATTTTACAGAAGTATAAATCGATGAGTTTTGACATATTTAGGGTCCAGGTGCTGTCTTGAAGAATTCTCACGATAGCTATATCTTTAGTAGTCCACACTACAAAGTCACATGATGACCTGTTAAGTATGTGCAGCTGTCCCTGCACCTGGTCATAATATCTGTGGTCCTCCTTTAGTTTGTAGAACTTCCTTCCTTCATATATTTGGTAACCTGAGACATGAAATAATAAACTTTGTATTAAATATGTTCCATTCCTTAATTAAAGATTTCAGATTTTGCAGAAATTGTACTTAAAACTAAAACATACACAAGCAAAAGTCTTTGACTGATTCTATGGCCTCGGGAATTGTCATGTTCCTTGCACTGAATGGGCATTTTACCTCCAAAACTTCTGGTTTTACAGCCATGCACTCAAGTAGGTCTGTTAATTCTACATCTTGGTAGTTGTAATTGTGTGTGGCTGCACGACGAATAATTAAATCTTATGTAGCCATACACCTGTATAAAAAAAAGTTTGGTTATTTTCAAGTTCAATTCCAATATTTATTTTTTAAAAATGTTTAAATTATGTCTTGTCCTTAAAAATGTTTAAGAGTTCTGTGGGCTATATTATAAAATACATATAAGCACATGTACTTACCAGTTTCCTCTACAATAGCATCTCCAAATGAACAGTATTTTGTCCTAGCAGTAGACTCATTGCTGATGCCCCACAATATGGCATCCTTTGTCGACAGATTGTATGAGGCAAAGATTTGCTTATATAATGCTGGTGGGAATCTGAAAAATATATCAACAATTCCTCAGTTGAAAGAAAATTATATACTTAACTTTTACGAGGTGATTACTTGTATAAAATATGTTTACTTTATTAGATGAGAAAAAAGAATGCACTTCCTCTGTCTTCTTATCGCAGACAGTACTACACCAAAATTTGATGCAGTTAATCGATTTTTTTTAACCAAAGCCCAGAGATGATTTGTTCGTTGACCAGATGTCATTTGTGCCACCTGCAAAGGTATTTGGTACTATATAGATAAGTAATAAATATTTTGTGTAAAAATGAAATATGGAAGATATGGATGACTTTCAATTTAATATTTATTTTTAAAGTTGCATACATTTTTGATATATCTTTTTGAAGATATGTCATGTACAACATGTACAACATTTAATTTAATCCTCTCTCTTGAAAGAGAATTAGTATATTTGAATCAGTTGACACATGAGTATTGTGCCATCATTATAAAAACTCTGACCCACATTTTCAAAATGGGTAGGTATGTAAATAGTATGTACATTATTTATCTAACACATTGATAACCATCATAAAAAAAATCACAGACTTGGAAATTTACTGATGTGTGCGTTATACACTTGACATCTATGTAGACAGATTTATTGCTACTTTCAATCTTCAAATGTCTTAAGGAAGTGATTAACCTAACTTTTAAAAAATGACTTTGTGATGTGGTCAATCTGTATTTTCAACGGAGACTAAAAGAAGGGAAAAATTAAAAATATGTGTACCACAAAAAAAGAATGGGTAGGGACAATTCTTACAGGTCAGTCAAAGTTCATCAAACAGTTGGCATTGTTATGCATAATTATCCGATTTAATCTGATTCAAAGTATTTATAATTGATAATGATTTTAGATTATATTGATATAAATGTACTACTTGTTCTATCTGCTGCTTTGATACACTCAGGTTTGTCTTAAGCCACTGCACTTTATTGGTCGCACTTGTGTAACCTTCTGTTAACAGAAGATCCTCTACACATGGAACATCCACTTTGGGAGCAGGGAGTTCATCAGAAACTATCCATTGCATGGCTAAGAATTTGAATAAAATTGATATGAATGATTGATATGAGTATATTTTATTAATCTAAAATGATATGGTTATGGTTTGATTTCAAATAATAAAATGTGATATGCTATCAAATATCAATAATTCAACATTTTCTCATTATATGCAAATGCTTCAGGAACAGAAATCAAATGATTCAAATATATAAATATTAAAACAATAATTCAAAAATAAGATATCATTTTTAGATTTCATTTGGATATTACATGATGTTGGTCATGTGATCAAATCCTATAATGCCCAAAGGGTGTTATAGCAGATTTGATATGTACCAACTTTATGTCATTAATCAAAAAAAAAAACTAAAAAATGATATTTTTATATTCTTTATATTTTGATTTGTGTCACAAAGAAAAAATTGCACATTTTAGACTTGGTTAACATCGTGTACATGTATGACATCAAGTGATGTCACAATCTAAACCTTCCAAATACCTTATGCACTTTGCTTTCAATACCCAAGAAAGCTGATAGTGACCAACTTCATGTCAACAAAAACTGAATGAAAATTTTGTTAGTATATCATATAACATGTATAAAGAAACACATTGGCAAATGTAAATATTTTCAAATGAACAAAGAACAAAACATTTTTCAACATTATTTTTTTTTTCAAATCAAGACCTGAAAATCGACCAAGGTCATTCAGCTTTTCCCGTAAGAAATTTATATCTCTCTCGTCAATTGATCTTGATGTTGCCCTGTCAGTGTAATATAATTTATTCTGCTTTAAATAGAATGCAGAAGTATTCTAAAAAAAATCTACATATAAGTTTTGTTTTGTTTTCTTTTTACATTTACATAATTCATGTTTACCTGAAGTTAGCTAGTTTTGGTGTAGGAAGAAATAGCTCATCCATTGTCCTGACTTTCTTAGGTGGTCTACTCTTAGGGTGTTTAATCCATGATTCTCGTATGTCCGTCTTGCTTACATTCTTATATCTAAATGAAGATGAATTAAATTTATAAAATGAAAAAAAAATGTTCATTTATAATTGTTTTTATTGCAAAGAAAATGCATACCCATATAACAGAAGAGAGGCTTTGTGGTGACACTTATCCTGACCATTAACACAGTCACAAATACTATCTTCAACCGTGTAATTTTCCCCGAGTGTGATCTAAATATAATATGGAACTACTGAAAATAATTTCATTTATGTACTTATATTATTCACGTCAAATATCAAATTATTTGATACATACGTTAACATGATAGCTTCTATCCCTCGTGCTGGCTTGCACTCTTCCCTGGACGTGTCTCAGCTAAGCATCGTACACAAATTTTAGTACGTGGTCAGATTTTACGGCCAGTTCAGACTTCTGGTGAAGCTTTTTAGTTCCTGATACAAAATTTAACCAATACAGAATGGACAATGCCATTCTGTTTCAGTAAAAACAAGAAATCAATCTTATTAGAGATAATGCCAATGTATGGCACGGATTTGTTCATATCCAGAAGTTCGTTTCACGCCAAATCTCGCGAACTCTCGTACTTCCGCTTTCTCGCCCTATGTCTTAAGGGATTTTAGATACAACTTCAATCTATTCAGTGTGAAAGGATTTGATGACCCCCTATGAGTTATCGCCCTTTAACGTCTTTGCGATTACAATTAAACCCTATAACTTTAAAACTAACAGTCGTAGAAGCATGGCGTCAAGTGCAATGTGACCCTTGACTTTGACTTTGAATATTTGATCCAGGCCAAAGGCCAAGGTGATTTCAAATTTTTTAATTTTTTAATTTTTTCAATCTTTTAAGCCAGTTCTCGATTATTTTTGTAAATTTAGAGAGCGAAATATGAAATATATAAGAAATTTTAAGAAAGTGGAACGACCTTTAATTGTTCAAGAACAATTAGTCTACTAGTTATTATTATTTTTTTGTTTCACAACTTATCGAAGAGACGCATCTTTCATATTAGTCGACTACTTAAATGATTTTCTGATTTGACCCAACGACTTCAATCGATGACATTTAATAAAGTTATTGCCCCTTTCGCAAGAATAGCTTGTTATCGCTACTCCTCTAAAACCACGAACCATAGAGATACAGAACCTTCACCAATGCTTTCCACTAATCGAGAGGGTTTTCCAATCTACCATTGCGAAAAGATTTATCAAAGCCTTTTACGAGTTACTGCCCCTGAAGTTTTTTTTTTTTTGGTTTTGTTTTTTGTTTTTTGTTTTTTTTGTTTTTGTTTTTTTTTTTTTGTTTTTTTTTTTTTTTGTTTTGTTTTTTTTTTTTTTTTTTTTTTGCTGTTTACGTAAACTTGAAAAAAATTTAACGCAAAGACGTAGAGACATGGGACCAACTGAAATGGATTCTTGCATTTTTATTCTTGATATTTAGGTCAAGGTCAAAGGTCAAGGTCATCCAAAATATGAGAAATACAGAATATATGAAAGGGGGGAAACCAATATAAATGTATGAAATAAACTATTCCACACTTTCATTATCTTGTTTTCTTCTTAAAATGCATGTAGAACATTTTATTTATTATAGCTGCATTAAATATAAGCTACATGGAAGCTTGTTTCAATCAGGAATCTTCTTTCTGAACCTGCAACAATCTTAGGATCCACAGTCTGGCCGCTTTGAGTCCAATCCATTTTTTCCCATGAAGTATATGGAGATAACGAACAGTATTCAAGCTCAAAATTCCATTATACAATATACAAAATAGGAGCAGAGCAAACACGGACCTCCAAACATCAGAGGTGGGATCAGGTGCCATGGAGGAGTGAGCATCCCCTGCCGACCGGTCACACCCGCCGTGTGCTCCTTGTCATGATCGGGAAATAACGGAAAAATCCGTCGACAATTCAGTGTGTAAATAATGGCTTAACAATTAGTATGAAAAACGTCAGTCAGCATTTGACTCAATGATAAATTGTATTTGCTGACAAGGTCATTGTATCGACCATAGAACTTACGAAATGATGATTTTAAACGAGACAGCTGATATTCTTGTTTCATCAACTTATTTGTCAATAATTTACCTCGTTTTAGAAATTGTGCACGCGTAGAACATGCTCTTGCGTATCGAATCAACTGAGAGATATAAACCCCGTATGTAGGTGATGAAGGTATATTGCTGCATAAGTAAGGGAAGTTGACGATTGAAAAGTTAAAGTCATCACGTTTATCATAAAGCTTGGTTGTTAGATTACCATTAACGTCTTTTTCAAGTAAAATATCCAAATATGAAACAGATGTGTCAGACTCTGTGGTATCTTTTATCTCAAGTTCACCAGGATATATCGTATCGACATAAGAATGAAAGTAGCCATTGTTAATTGACAATACGTCGTCGATATATCTAAATGTCGAGTTGAACGTCACAGCAAGTGTTTTCTTCTTTTCACGTACAAGATTTTGGACAAATTCTGCTTCATATGAATACAAAAAAAAGGTCTGCTAATAACGGGGCGCAATTGGTACCCATAGCAATTCCAATAGATTGTTGGAAGACCTGGTCTCCAAAAACCGCATAGATATTGTCAATCAGAAACTCAAGCATCTTTTTAATGTCAACTTCAGAGTACTTGTGAGTACAATCAGAATGTTTTCCAACAAAATAATTTTGCAAATGACCAATGACAAGGTAAGTATATTTACGAATTCCATTTTTATTGAAAAAGCAGCTGTCAATGATATCAAAAAGCCTGGACTTTAATTTATCGTGGGGAATGGTGGTGTATAAAGTTGAAAAGTCGTAAGTTTTTAAGCTGTTGATTTTGGTAAAATCTTGTGATTTCAAATTTTCCAAAAGTTCCTTGGAATTTTTAAGTATCCACATCTGATTTACACCACTTCTCCAATATATTGTTGCACAGTACTCTTGAAGTTTCTCCTTCACCACTGTTAATATCTTAGTGAGGAGTAAAGACAGAGGCTTACTTGAACATTTACTGGAACCCGCTATGTATCTTTGTTTGTAAGGATTTTTATGAAGTTTCGGAATCCAATATAAATATGGTAATTCGAATTCATTTTGGTTGTTTGGAATATTAAAAATATTTAAAACTGACATATGATTTTGAAGAATTTCTTCCTTAGAAAGGGAACTATGAGTATAAGTTGGATTACCACTTGTAGAATTAAATCCAAGTTCCTCTAAAATACATTTAATATAATGAGCCTTACAAACAAAGACAATGTTGTTACCTGCTTTGTCAGCAGGGACCAGTACTATACGTACTGATCATGTAATCTATCTAATTCTTTTTTCACTTCTGGATTATTGAATACAGAAGGATAGATGGTTTTCATATTGCCTCTCAATCTTTTAATGCGCGATTTTATCATACATCTGATACATTTAATCCATTCTGACAAAGTGTAAAGGTCTTCTTTTTCATGCCTGGCCCATCGCCTGGCATAGTCCTCTACAGAATCCGACGACCTACATACCATTTAATAGCCTCGAGTCCGATTTATATCATCGGCACTTTTCTAAGTAGTTTAACTAAATCGGAACATTTAACACCTCAAATTAAACCCTCGAATGCATAATGCACAGAAATAGAAATACGATACGCACAGTAAAACACATGTCATGCATTGTACTTCCATGGTAACTATGTAAACAATATTGCTATCAACACGGAAGCAAAAAAAAAAAAGGAGAGAGAGAAAAAAGAGAGAGGAAGAGAAAGGAAGAGAGAAGGGGAAAGAGAAAAAAATTGGCACCTAAGTCGCAAAAAGAAATATCTTTTTTTGGAGATGCGCGACACCTTTTGAACTCTGCAGAGAAACGAGCCCGACAATAAATCTATAGCAAAAGACGAATTTTTGAGTTTTATTTATTTTCTTGCATTTTTCTTCTTCTTCTTTCTTTCTTTTTTTCTTTTGAAAGCCAAATGATATGGAAACATGTTTCTCAAAACTATCTAATTCTGATTACTACATTGTACAACATCTTTTTATTCCTAAATAGGTACTTATTACATACATCTTCATCGGAATTCGTGGCGTAATGGTTAACGCGTTTGCCTTTCAAGGTAAGGGTTTTGAGTTCAATCCCTGCTGGGAGAACTTTTTTTTTGCATTTTTCTTCTTTTTTTCAGCCCAAATGACATGGAAACACTTAAAAAGGTGGAAAGGCCTCTAATTGTTCTATGAACAATTAGTTTACTAGTTGTTTCATAAAGCTGGTTTCCTAAGCCAATGCGCCAAGTAAATCTATTTATAGTAATAGGTACTTTCCATTTAAACCTGGTAGTAGGCGAAATATCGGAAAGTGAATAATTAGGTCAATTTGAAAATTTATTCAATTTCGTAGCAAATATGTGTAAATGACCAAATAATTCCTATGCCAGTCTTTTTTTTTTTAAAGAAAAACTTCTAGCTTTCAATTTCTGTAGATACATGTACATTATTTACACCTTCAGTAAACCCTACACGAAAGAGAGTAAATTTACAATGTTTTTTTATACACATTATACATTTTTGTGTTAACATTGACATTTAATTTAACAATTTTTTTTAAATATCTTGATTTATTTTTCCCACAAAACATTTTTATGCAGGAAAAGATATCCTGCCTACAAACCAAATAATGAAATCAATAGGAGAAAGTTAATAACCCGGGAAGGGTATTATTAAAGGTGACTCTGTAATTCATTCGTTTCAATGTTTTAGATAGCAGTAGATTCGACATGGATTCTGTAGCTCTCAACACCGTCTGGAAAAAACGTAAACGTATGTATAAAATTGTATAATATAGTCTCTGTAATCTATTGTTTAAAAAAAACTATATAATACAACATATTTTTTTCCAAGAACACCAGCCTAAGGAAAAATTTACTCTGTACCTTTAGCAAGGTTTTGTGATTTCGGAATTCCACAAAAACCCTTGACAAAAGTCGTTATTTAAAAGTTAGGCTAGAAAACTACCATTTTATCTGTTCCTGGTCTAGGACTGGAACCAATCAGAAAACAGCTTTTATTGTAGGTAAGTTTTGTAAGCAAATATGAAAATGGAAAATACAAAATCGAAAATGTCAATATTGTAGGATTTATGACTAGTTACTTTAAATAAAACATAGGGGATTAATTTTTTGAACATCGTCCTCCTTACAATCACAAAAGATATACACATGTACTCTGGAGTTGGGCAATTTGATAACGACGGATTTAAAAATATATATTCTCATTGGTTAGTTTATAATTACCATTACGCCATGTGTAACCACAGGCCAAACTTTTAAATAACGACTTATGTCAAGGGTTTGTGTGGAGTTCCGAAATAACAAAACCTTGACATTGTGAGAATGTACCTTTAGCTGCTCAATGTTAATTACAGTACTATTCATTTGCATTCTTTTTTAGCTGTTAATTGCTTTTTTTTAATCTTTCATGACATTGTGATATAAATGAAAGAATACATGAAATTTACT